TTACCACTATTTCAAGTATATCACACAGTGTCATTGTTACCACTGTGTCAAGTATATCACACAATGTCATTGTTACCACTGTTTTAGGTCACTTTATAATCAGTCCAGAAAATAATATAATAAGCCCCTTGGGCATTTACAAAACAGAAGTTCCCAGCACGGAATACATTTAAAAATATTATTTAAGTTTTCAACACTTAGAATTATGGCTGAGTTTGCAAAACAGCATTTAAAACCTTGAACTGAAATTAAATGATATGCAAATCATGCTAAGCAGTAATATCAATCCTCGAAGGATTTTACAAATCGGCACGAGGCCCCAAACATGGCATCAAGCCCAGTAATATCAATGAAGTATGCGTATCAATCACCAGTATAGTATAAACATCACATGGGGTGGACCAAGTCACAATTCCCAGTAGTATCCGACCCCGCACTAGCCATGGATTGCATGTCACGCCTCAATATAGCGTTACGATGTGAAAGTCTGGGGTTTCAAACCCTCAGAATAGCATTTACATATATTACTCACCTCTGACCGGCCGTAGACTAGTCCGCAATGCCCTTTCCTCTTGAATCGACCTCTTCGCGCGTCGAATCTAGTCAAAACCACAATGAATACATTACAATAGGATAAGGGAATATAACTCAATCGAAAAGACTCGAAAAATGTCGAAAATCACGAAATTAGCAAAACCCGAGCTCCGGGTCCACGTCTCGAAATTCAGAAATTTTAACATAAATACGACCCTTATCTCACCACGAGTCTATACATACCAAATTCACAAAAATCGGAGTTCATTTGACCCCTCAAATCACCATTTAATTCTCTTAAGTTTCAAGCCCTAAACCACCATTTTTGTCCATAAATTACTTGAGTTTTCAGCTCTAATCCATGTATTTAACTTGGAAATAAGTAGAAACAACTCACCTTTGATGCTTGATGAAATCCCCCTTGAAATTCTCTCCAAAATAATCCAAGCCAAATGAAAGAAATGAAAGAAATAAGCCAAATCCGTGTTTAAAAGAATCTGCCCGTGCTTCATCGAGTTGTACCTTGCACTTGTGCTATACAAGTTGTACATCCTATTAAAATTGTTCCTTGTCGGACACCTTCTGTTTAAACACCCATAACATCTTGTATAAATATCCAAATGACAAACGGTTTGAAGATTTAGAAACTAGACTAAAATATCTTCAATTTCATAGGTTGTACACCATATAACTCTTTATATATCCCGAGATATGAGCTTCTAAATCGGCTCCATGAAATCAGAAAATTTCTAGAGAAACTGCTCCACCAGTCATCTTCAATCAATCTTACCTTTATATATAAATGTCCAAATTACGATTTCTTTAGCTTTCTGAAAACTAGATACGAAGGGCTACAACTTTAGTTTTTGAATCATCTCACAATTCCTTGTAGATCAAAAGATATAGGTCTCCGAAGTACGCTCCACGACTGCACATTGCTGTCCAAAGACAGCTTAGCAGCAGAAATTGCAGCAGCTTTTATTTTCACTAAAAAGGCTCAAAATCCATCATACGAACTCGGAATTAGACGATTCTTGTTCATATGAGTCACAAATAATAATACGAACACAACCCTTCAATCGAAACTCAATTCGGAGCTCGTTTGTCCAGTTCAATACCCATTTCGCTCGTTAAACAATTAACTCACATTTCACGTCAAAAACTCAATCGCGACTTGATGAAATTAAACCAAAATTTCCAGATTAGTCCTATAATTTATGATTTAAATTTTGGAAGTCTCAAAATAAAATTTGGATCTCTAAAACTAAAAATGGACCCTTGGATCATTACATGCTTATGCTCAAAACGGCAAAAATCTTCCACAAACTCTTCCAAAACTTATCCGAGCCTCATGGGACCCCGACCAAAAATACCAACAAATTTATAACATCATTTAAACCTGCTCAAATCATAAAAAAACCTCAAACAACATCAAATTACCCAAAACTCATCGAATTCAAGCCTAAGTTTCAAAAAACTTCCGAAAATACACTTTCGATCAAAAACCCGACCAAACGATGTCCGAATGACCTGAATTTTGAACACACATCACAAATGACATAACAAAGCTACATTAATTCTCGGAATTCCATTCCGACTCCCGGATCAAAATCTCACCTATCAACCAGAATTCGCCAAAATAGTAACTTCGCCAATTCAAGCCTAATTCTACACCGGACCTCCAAAATTACTTCTGATCACACTCCTAAGTCACAAATCATCCCCCGAAGCTAACCGAATCATCGGAATTCAAATCCGAGCCCTCTAACACATAAGTCAACGTTCGGTTGACTTTTCCAACTTAAACCTCCTTAAAAGAGACTAAGTGTCTCAAACCTTACCAAAATCATTCCGGAATGACTTCAAATTTTGCACACAAGTAACATTCGACATTACGGACTTGCCCCATCTTTCGGAACCGCATTCCGACCCCGATATCAAAATTTCCACTTCCGGTCGAATTTTCTCAAAAACCTTCAAATTTCTATATTTAGCCAAATGACTTCAAAATGACCTCCGGACATCCGAATTCACTTCCGATAGCCTCCCAACTCCAGAATCACCATACGGAGCTATTCCCAGACTCGGAACCCCAAACGGACATCTATAACACTGAAATGCCTTCCAACCCAAATTTATGAAATTCTTCTAATGTGCTAACTTTCACAATATATGTTGAAATGCTCACGGGTTACCCAAAACCAAATCCGGACATACGCCCAAGTCAGAAATCATCATACGAACATGCTGAAACTTTCAGATCCCAATTCCAAGGTTGTTTACTCAAAATTCTAATCCTAGTTCATTTCTTCAATTTTAAGCTTTCAAAATGAGAATTTCCATTTTAAAATGACTCCAAACTTCCTGAATTTTAATTCTGACCATACACACAAGTCAATATACCTGAGATGAAGTCGCTCATGGCCTCAAACTGCTGAATGACGCGCCAGAGCTCAAAACGACCGGTCGGGTCGTTTCATAAACCCTAGGTTTCTATAAAATACAATGTTAAATAATCAATTGAATCACTAGTCATTTGAAACTAATTCATAGCTAATAAACAAAACATTATAAGCTTACACAAAAGATATAAATTGTAATTATAACCTAGAATTTTTAGGAGGTGGAGAAGGAGAGAGACGCAGCAGCGGCAGAGGCGACGGCGACGGGGCGACGACAGCTAGGCGGTGGTCGTTGGTGGCGTGGGTGGGGCATCTGGTGCTGGGAGTTGGAAGAGGGGGAGGGGGTTTGAGTGAGAGAGAAAAGAGAGATTTTGGGAAATTTTTAGAAAGAATGGGAGGGGATCCCGGTTTTGACACTCTAGAATTAAAAATAGCGACCACAGTTGGTCGCTATTTTGGTAGGTAAATCAGTTTTGAATTTTTAGAAATAACGACCAAAGTTGGTCGCTATTTCTAAAAAAATTATATTACTCTTAATTCAATTTAAAATTATATATATATATATATATATATAGTATAAGTTTAGGATTTTAATTCAATTTAAGCTATATATATGTGTATGTGTGCGTGTGTGCGTGTATAATACAATTTAAAATTATGTACATGTGTAGTATAAATTTAGGATTTTAATTCAATTTAAGCTATATATATATATAAGCTATATTCGATATAATACTACCTAATACACTTATACTTAGTGCATAGTATAACGTAAGTATATATATATATATATATGCATAAGCTATATTCAATACAATATTACCTAATACACCTATACTTAATGCATAGTATAGCGTAAGTATATATAATATATATATATAAGCTATATTCGATACAGTATTACCTAATACACTTATACTTAGTGCATAGTATAGCGTAAATATATATATATTATATGNTCTCAGTAAATGTTTGACCAAGAAAGTTTGACCAGTCCAGTCAACATTTTGACTAATATAGCAAACAAGTAGCGACCAACCTTGGTCGCTATTTTGTTTCTTTTTTTATTTTATTATTTTCGCTAGCTTAGCGACCAACTTTGGTCGCTTTTTCCCACAGACCAATTTTGGTCGCTTTTTTTCGGATTTCTAGTAGTGTGCATTAATATTTTGCAATATTATATAGTTGGCTTTCTCCGAATTTACCACATATTTATCTTTCTTTCTTCGCGTTTAATTATCTCTTAAATGTTCTTTGTTAAATATTGTGCTAACGGTATCAAATTTAATTATTACACCAAATGTAAAGAAGATAATTCTAATACAACAGAATAGTTTTATCTGAAATTAGAAGGCACATCAAGTATCAGAGAGAAACCTCTAATGTTGAATTTGATAATTAAGCCAACTATCCTGTCAATTACTAGAGAAATTGAGTGTACGAGACTTTTTTGCGGGAGTATAAATAACGTTTTCATACATTCTTGAGTGTTCGAAACTTTTTATAGTGTAACTGACGTTTATCATATACAGTTTTTGTTTATCTATAAAGACTTTTCATACTTGTTTAATACGTACTTACAAGTAGTAGACAATGATTGAAATATACATGTATTCCCAGCTAGCATGCACAAATAGTGGAACGATCTCAACTGGAGAACAAACTTTTTTAAGTGATAATGTTAGTGGGACATCTGCGATAGATGCAACTCAAATTGATCACGTAATTAATTTCCCTTCAATTTGAAACATATTTCTCTATTAATCTACGAAAAAGACGTTAAAAGTTATGACTTTAGTTGGTGTCCGAATGTATCTAATTACTGCCTGGTTCGACCTTTTAAGATCATGATTCATTTAGCTTTTATGATACATTAACAGTACACTTTGGCAAGTGAATGCTTATGTAGTCTATTCTCAGGAAGTGCACAAAATAATTAAGTGAAGAATTAATGGACGATGCTAACTTGGTCAAATTAACAGATTATTAGTCTTATATAATCTTCAAATGAAAGAAAAGGACAGTCTTTGTTCATCAATACCTAAATTCATAATGCTAGCGAGACATCTCCATGAGATATTGTAGATGCAGTTCAAATTGATCACGTAATTAATTTCTCAAACTGGCAATAGATTTCTATGTTAATTAGGAAGAAGATAGAATTATTATAACCTAAAAACTAGAATCTTAGACTCATAAGCTTCAAAATTTGGCTCTGCTACTGATTAACGTTTGATTGATTATTACAAACCCCACTACAAATTAGGTTTGGTTATTTTTTCTTTCTCGTATAGCTATTCCTATCTCCACGTTGCTCATTTTATTTGGAGGTAGAAATTTATAACAGTAAACACATTTGATGTGGCTCTAATCCAATTCCAAATAACTGGATATCTTTTAATTCTCACCCATTTCTTCCAGTTAAACGTTTTTCTAGAGCTAACTGTTTTGGTAAAAAGCCTTCAATTATAATTCTAAGCTGGCCTCTAACTACACTAGAATTACTAAGAAACATTAGTTAACATGAAACGTATATTAACATAGGGTATATCTTTATATTAAAATGATGATAACTAAAATTACTCCTTTATAATATTTGAATTCATTTCATATTTTTCCTTTTCAAATGAAATATATAAATAGTACCTTATTATATGGATATGGTACTAACCGATTTTGCTAGTCTATAACTATGTTAAATCATTTAGGCAATGGATTCACATTTAAGTGGGGCTTTCGCTAAAAGTTTTTATAAAGAAAAAGTTACGCTTTAATTGCTCATAATTAATGGATTTTGATTTGGTCTTCCTAATATGTATATCTGACTAAGCACATTTAGCCTTTACTAATTCAAAATATTATTTTGGCCTCTTCACGAATTTCCGAAGGACTATTCGCTACTGAATCATGTAACCGCCCACATGTTCTGCTGAATTCGTACTTTTAAATTTAATCCATCTTTTGAGGATAAATATAGTTTAAAAATATTCTTGTTATTTAACTGTGTTTAAAACAGGAAATAGAAAACGTAAATT